AAGGTGTTTGCAATGAACAAGTCGTTGGTCTTGCAAAATTCTACCATACGAGTTCCAGCATTATTTCTGTCACCAAGGCCAAATTTTCCAACTACCGGTGCTTCTTCATTTGCAACTTTTGCATTCCAGTCACCAGTGATAATTAACACATCCTGATTGCATTGATTACCACTGAATGGTATTAAAAAAAACACACACACACAACTCACTGCCGTCAAGTTGGATCCAACTCACAGTCAACCCTCCTTAGGTTTTTGAGGCGGTATCTCTACGGAAGTAGATTGCCCAGTATTCCTTCTGAGGAGTGGCTGCTGGGTTTGAACCACCAGTCTCCTGGTTAACAGTCAAATGCCTTAAGCGCCATGCCACCAGAGCTCCCTTAGGGAAAATGTGGCTGTGGAGTTATATGTCCACATGTGGGAATGTTTTACAGAAACTAACAAAGCCAACTAAATCCCAGAAGATCTCTTTACCTCTCTCTCCTTTGGTATTTTTAGGTTTTTCTTTTTCAGATCTGTTGTGAAGCCTCTTATGCAAGAAGCCTATAACACACAAAAGTATTTAAGTGTTGTTTATTTAGATTCAGGCCTAGTGCCACAGTCAAGTGGTTTTGCGGAACAGAGCCAGGAAGAGGTATGGGTAGAGGAATAGAGAGGTTTTCAAAATATTTTCTTTTCTATCCCAGTTGAATTGTTCATCATTTGGGAGAAAAACACAAGATGAAAGACAGGATCTTTGGGAGAGAAGCAATGATCTTTATTTTGGCTGTTGCCACAGGCGAGGCCTTGGGGCATGTGAGAGCCACGGAGCTGAGCTCCAGTTCTTATTGTTGCTGCCAGATAAAGTGCAGGGTGTTTTTCAGATGGGGAGGCACTCCTTTCTCAGTTCATCTAATTGGATATTAGAACACCTCCTCTGGCTTGGTGGTATGTGGAGCTGTGGCCACTGACACCCTGGCTTGTAGTTAGGAGCCCTGTGTCCCAGTAAGTTATTACCTGGGTATCACTTATGGAGGCAGTGAGCTGCCGGAGCAAGTTATTGGCCCTTCTGGGCTTCAGCCTTTGCGTCTGTAACATGCGAGGGACTGAGAAACTAAGGTTCCTTCAGCTTTTGCAATCCTTTATCTTTCTAGGGGAAAATTGAGGTCACCTAATTCTTTGAGTAGTGGCTACTACTGATGCAATTCTGTGGACCACATGATGCAGGAATACCAGAAAACCTGGAAGTGTACATACTTTTAAGAAATTAGACCAATATCCAAGACCCATTTTAAAAGATGGGATTTTCTCATGTAGGCTGTGAGTCCCAGTGAGTGGGGAAAACATAAACAAACAAAACAAAACTCGTTACAGTGGAGTTAATTCCAACTCATGGCAACCCCATGTGTTACAGAGCAGAACTGCTCCATAGTGTTTCATGACTGAAATCTTTATGAAGGCAGATTACCAGGCCTTTCTTCTGCAGAGCCACTGGGTAGGTTTAAACTGCAACCCTTAAGTTAGTAGTTGAGTATAAACTGTTTGCACCACCCTGGGACCTAGTAAGTAGTAAGCATTTTCTATGTTCCTTTACTGTGTCCCATATAATGTTATGCCTTAAAAGAAGAGAGAAAAATGGATTG